CGTTCCCGCTACCAGGCTTGACCAGCTCGCCCACCTGCGGCAGCTTGTGCACGCGGTTCGCCCGCTTCCACTTGTCGAAGCGGCCGCTGCTGAAGCTGGCCGCGATCTTGACGCCGCTCTCGCCGACAATCATCTTTGCGCCGCGGGAGCCGTCCTCGTCGTTTGCGCTGTTGACGTACTTCTTGGCTTTCGCGTCCCAGCGCATGCGCGGGCGCGTGGGCGCGCCAAAGGCCTTGGCCGTGTCGTCGTTGGTCAGGTCCATGGTGGCGTCGCGGGCGAGCTCGACGAAGCTGGAGCCCTGGCCGCCCGAGTGGACGCCGTAGCCGCGCTCCTCGGCGGCGTTGACGGTGCGCGGCGTGTAGGACATGAAGACGTCGTTGTCGCGGAAGTCGGTGCGGGCCTTGTCCTTTTTGGAGGGCTTGCCCGTGTTGGTGATTGTTACTTCGAGCTCGTCGTTGCCGTAGCCGTCGTCTTCGTCGTCGTCGTCGTCTTGCATGTTTGCATCCTCGTCGTCATCATCGCCGTCGGGGTTATGGGCAGCGCCGCCATAGTCGTCGTCCACGCCGGACATTTCCTCGTCATCGGCAGCTTCCTGCTTGTTGCGCGGCTTGACCCTCTTGCGGAGCTGCTTCATGACTTCCGCCGCGGCGCTCGTCGCCTTGTCGCCCTGCCCGACCTCGAAGATGGTCTCCTGGGGCTTGAAGCTGCTGATCCTGGCCAGCATGGCGGCGCGCGCTTCTTCCATGCCGTCGACGTCCTTGCCAAAGAGCGGGTGCAGCTGCGACCAGCCCTTGGACGCCACCTCCTCTCTCGCGCGCTTCGCGCTCTGGCTCGAGGCCGAGTTTCGCGTCTTCATGTATAGCTTCTCGGCCTTGACGGCGACGCCTCGCAGGGCCTCGACGTCTTCATTCTCGTGTAGGAACTTGTTGAGCCATTCGACGTGCGTGCCAACGGCATCTCGCTGCAGAGATCCGACGACGACGTCGTCTCTGTAGGACGGATCCTTTTCTGTCTGTCCGAGAACCAGCCTCTTGCCTAGGAAGAGCTGTAGATCGAGCAGATAGGGAGCGTCAACATCTCGGACCAGACTGTAGGCCCAACCCCTCTGGCCGGCACGAGCCGTGCGACCGACTCGGTGGATGAACACCTTTGGCTGGGGAGGGAAGTCGTAGTTGATGACGTTGGCCAGCACGGGGATATCGATA